ATTTAAGTCATAGAGTAGATTTAGCACTATTTCTGCCATAAGTTTAAATACACAAATATTAAAAAAAGTACATGACCTTAATGAAATGCTATGGGCAGTAGTATCTAGCAAAATAACGGATCATGCCCACAGTCAGATGACATCTCTCTAGTAGAAGGAAAAAGTGTTAATGAGGACATTCCATGCAGTCAATGAGTTTTGAAGTGTTCAGTGGAAGAAGGGCAAATTTCATCCTGAAGATGCAAGAAACTTGCCAAGATGAGCAACCTATTAGAATAGTTGGATTATGTTCCTCCTGGGCACCATTTATTTCACAGTTGACAGAATGTCAACAGCCAGATAGCTACTGATAATCTACTATTCAATGACTCAGAATAAGGCTAGATAGAGGTTTTTCCAGTTTGGAATGTCTCTTTTAGTAGGAAATATTTAAAATATATTGTGATTTTCCTAACCGTGCCCCTGGCAAGTATTAGATGTCGACAGTTTCATCCAATCAAAAGCTTGAATGTTACCATAGTCACTGTGATATAAATGTGAATTATTTCTACATGATAATCACCAACCAAATCAACACATGTTAATTTGTCATCAAGACTCACCATATTGAGGAGTGACGTCAGTTAGTTACTAACATGTAGAAATAATTCACATTTGTATCACAAATATTGGCTAACATGTATTTCAGCCATTTACTCTATTATTCTGGTAATTTTACCAACTGGAGAATGTTCAATGTCTTTATGTAGCTAGAATGTATGAAAAGAACTCATTACAATTTCCTTTGATAAAAATAATATTCACACTTAATTGTGTGCTTACAATTTAGTCTTTTGTGAGTTTTGTAGTTTAATTAAAAGCATAATGAAAGAAAACAGCAAAAAATGAAATTTGATATTTATAGCCTGTCAGTTTACATCTTTTTGATGATTTAATTCACAGTCTTACCCATACTCATCTGCATTTTGTCATGATTTATATTTGACAAAATGTTATATTCTACAATGTTCTTTAGTGACAATATTGGAACAATGTCAATCACTTGTGAAAACTACCTCTAACCTACAATACACATTGAACTGACACAGAGGCAATAATACATTGTACTCCAGCCCATATGGCTGGTGGAATAAATTTCGCAGAGCGATAAGGTCTTTGGTGATGCAGTTTTAGAAAGGGTCAAAAAAATTTGTCCAATGGCCTGAATGGCCATACTACTTTCAGATAAATACTGGTACTATAAATTTAAAAAAAGTTTCATCTACCATATATTTTTTTTTCTAATTGTCCACAAAAATTTGTTATCTCAATTTCAGAAACACGTTTGTTGTAACCAGATTTTGGGTGTAAGTGTATTTTTAAAAACGCACCAGTTTATTTACCCAAATATACGACAACTCTTTAACTTAACCTCCTCAGAATTTTCAAAATTTTAAACTAATTCTTCCTATTTAATCAAAATAAAATTGCAAATGATGCCCTGATGAGAATGTTAAAGACTTATTGCCTCAACTATCATTTTCTTGTTCCTTAAAATCGTTACAATCAAGGTTTTTCGCATCTCCTTCATCATCTTCACATGTATCAATGTTTCTTTCTTTTTGGTCCTCCTTCCAAATGGCGACATCTTCTAATATTTTAGGAACCTCTGAAAGTCTTGCAGGTTGAATTTGCATTCTTCTTCATATTTCACCTGATGCCATCTTCATTCTTCTGTGTCACCCGAATTTCTATCTGTTCCACACTTGTTGATGGTATCTGCTTCTTGAACAGTTCCTTCACATTCTCTAACAGAACATTCTTGTAATTAGCATTGTTTACCATTTGTGTGATCAAGTTGTGAACAGTGAACTCTTAAATCTCTGTCCCTCCGTTTTGTCGGTGAACTGAGAGATAGCAGCAAGTTTTCAAGTTTGGGAAGTTTTTGACAAGAAACTATTTTGTAATCCTTTTCTGTTGTTAGATGTAGAATTTGTATGTCTATCAATGTGATTTTCTCATTTGCAAAATGAGATTGCAAAATGCAGATTCAAACTTGCTGGCCGTCTAAACCAAAATTCCATGTGGCCTTGTTGAACCCGCATCGTTCAACAAAATCTCAGCATTCAATCTCGCATAACTTACGTATAACTTGAATTAATGCCATTTTTCTGACATTATCTATTTACCGGCCCATTCAAAAATATCAGTCTGAACATTATTACATATTGTAGATACACATGACATTTTTATGTCTTCACAGATTATTAATAATAAATAAAATTATTGTTATGTCAATATTTACGAGTTTCATGTTATGGAAAGCCAATGTAAAAACACAATCTCTAATTGACTAGGTTTAATCTGTGAATGTAAGACGACTCTATTTTTCAACAGATATTCAGGAAAACACCTCATCTTATATTCCGGTAAATATATTATATTACAAGAATTCTGAACAAGGCAAATATCAAGAACTATGAAAGGTCAGTTTCATTACTTGAAGACTTAATTATTGTGGTAAAATAAGATAGTGTACACTGCATTTATAATGGTTTTATTTTTTTATAAACATGGTAATAAATATATTTATGAGATTTATTAAAATTATCTTACATTTATACAACAATATTTCATGACAGAGACATTGTTAAACTAATTGTTTTTCTCTCTTTTGCTACTGATTTGTTCACCTCCTGAATAGGAGGAAGTCTTCGAAGTTTCCGACCATGCCGCCCAGTCTTACGCTGCCACAGGCCCGACCGGGGACGGTTTCCCAATTCACGACTCCTTTGAGCGCTACCAATGGGGATCTGGTTATGTATTACATTTGACACCCTTCCTGCAACAGATCAAAAAGACACACTGATACACAAAAAAGATTTTTAGTCAAGAGTGAGTCAATGTAAATTGAGTGTGTTTTTGTGTCTGTATGCTTTAAGTTTTTTGACAAGCAAATGTAACAAAATCTAAAAAGTCATAACTGTACACACTTGTGTATGAAAGTAAGTATATAAAGTACTGTACCACAGTGAGCAGAATACCATGAGTGATGTATTATAATAAAAAAGAAGTGAAATAGAAGAATGGAAATACGAAAATTTTGGGTGATTTGTCACAACATAGTATATAGGGAAGGGATAAAAAAAACAAAAAACAACTGAATGTGGTAACTGTCACATTTCCCAATGTATTTCTTTGTTTCACATGGAGCATATTGCTTCAATATTTAAGACAACTTATAAATTTGTTTTGTCACTGATTTTTTATTACACTAACGGTCTGCCATTAATTACCAAATGCAACACTTCTGCAACATTTTAGGACTGATTTTTTCCCATCATCAGGCTACATTAAAACCCAAGTTTAAGTTGTTAATAAGGATGTGAATTCTTTGTGTTGTACTTAGTACGTGATACTATGGAGAGACGTTCATTTTGAGGTTAGAAATTATGAAGTATTTTTGTACATGGTTGTTACACAAGGGTGAGTGATGTTATGTACATGCATATTATGAATAAGTCATTGAATATATATTTTTTAATGTGTACAATGTATTTTGTAGGTTTTAATGTAACTTAATGCTGGGAAAAATCATATTCCTGAAACGTTGCAGAAGCATGAATTGAGTAATTAATAATGTCAGACGACGTTATGAAAATCAGTGACTAAACAAATTTATAAGTTGTCTTAACCTTTGTTCTACAAAGTACAGGTCAAAATTACCCAGAGGCATGGGGAAACGTGCATGCATGTCAGGGACGTGGAGGGGGGGCTTAGGGTGTAGTAGCTGTCAGGGTGCAGGTTTGAGTCAATATGACCACACATCGTATTAAACGTTTTTGCAGATTTATTACAATTAAATTTCATTACTCTCAATTCCCATGAATCATCTCTCAAGTCTAAGTTTATTTATACGATTCATTTAGTTTTGCTATTGTACGAGGAAAGTTACATACCATTTTTTAACAATTTCAGCCATGGAAAACAACCCTCGCCCCATAATAGGTGAAGAAATTTGATGAAAAGTGGAGAGATTGAAAACCATTGATGATACTTTCCTGATTAATTATCAGACAGTGAAGATGAAGACAATGTGTTACCAAACAATAACAATGGGCCAGATGTTCTTCCTGGAGACGAAGCAATGTCAGTGGATGATATTTATTTAGAAGAATTTCCAAATTTGGAATAAGAAGATCGAGAACTAAGAACAAAATTTGTGCTGGGCAAAGACGGAGAGACTATTTGGACTAATACCCATCTTTTCCTGTCGAGAAACATCAGAATTGGTTCAAGGAACATTATTACACCCTTAGCTCATCAGAAAGAAGAAACTCGGAATCTGGTAGATGGGGTATCCTCATTTTCCTTTCACAAAACACTACTGAATGGATAATCACAAAGGAGCCAAATACTAATCTGATCGACATTAGATGGGACCCACAGATGCCCTTGAAGTGAACTCTGCCTTCTATTTTTCAGTGGTGATAAGAGGAACCAAACATTCATTTATTGTGTTATTGCATATTCTGAGAATTTTATTTGGAGAAAATAAGGATTTATTGTTTATTGAAATGATGAAAAGGATGTATTTTGAAAAACATGGATTTCATTGTTTTATTAAGACTCTTTGTTGTAGTTCTCTTCTTGGTGTTTCATGTTGTAGCCCGAAGACTAAAGAGTGGAGCAATTTGTTCCGTATGAAAAGTAATCTCACAAACAACTTCCCCACGACAAATTTAGATATTTATTTATGACAATAAAAAAGGATACCACTGAACAAAATAATACAAAGTTCCCTAAAATCTTTTGATAAGCTAGGAGTAGTTAAACCATGACTCTAGTATAAAAACAAACTTTGTGCTATGTTTTATTTGATAAGGATACCATTTTTGAAAGTAATAAAAACAAAACAAAAAACATATTTTGGCTTTAGATGGGTGGGAATGGGGGTATAGAGGTTAGGAAACTTTTCATTTTTTTTAAAACTTTCATGAGTCATAATTTAAGTACTCAAGTCATTACATTTTAGATATTTCTATTCAACTTTTGGCCATCTTATCCAGGGGTATCATTTATTATCAACATTCATATGTTATATTATCCAATGGTTTGTGTTTACAAAATATATTTGTGTGCTTCTTGGTGCTTCTGATATTGAATAACACAGTAAAATAAAGGAATTTGCAAGTAAAACTTACCAACAGTCGCCATGCATTCCCGTGCCAGTGATACCTCCCGTTTTGAAGAAAGTTGAACAATTATTCTATCTCCCAAATGCCGCAAAATGGTACAAAATGTACCAGCAGAAAGACCGTACTTTCCACCCTCGCCAGGAAATTTCTCAACATTATGGACCACGGTACCTACTGGTAGTGCTGCTAATGGGTATGCATTTCCTTCCTTGGCTCGTACTACAACAAACAATTAGATGTAAAATGGCACATATGAGAAGTACTAAATTAGTGCCTCTTATAAAAAAAAAAGTAGAAAAACTTCTTTTAGTTTCAATAAACACTAGGCAAAACTTTGATAATTATGTTAATTTACAAGCATTAATATATTACTATACTTAACTGCCTAAACCGTTTTATGGTTCGAAGATGGCATGACAGACATAGTTCCAACTTAATTAGTGATGTATAATATAGTGTATAGACTGTTGTAATAAGTGGTCTTACTAGATCTGAACCCTCAGTCAGTAACTTTGGGAGCTTACTGCGCGATACTACAAAATTTTGATTTTGGATTAGTAATTACTAAAACTGAAGATTTTCAATCTGGTTGTAAATTTGTTTTGGCATTCCAAATAAATTACTTGAGTTTATTTAATACAATGATGAATAAAAATCATAAAATAGGATACAAAATATTAAAAATCAGGAGCCTGTTCCCTCAGTGCCCAGGTAACCCATAAAACAGCTAAGGGCATTATCATTAAATTTAAACACTATACAGCAGCTTCACACAGAATCTGCATCTAACCAAAATTTGTATTAATAATCATGTTTAACTGAAATAGCGTAATGTTAATTAATTTAAAACTAGAGGAAATTAGAGGAAATAATTAATAAGGAAATAATTTGAAGACAAAATATGGAGCAGAACAATTTTGAGAAAATGAAGTTTGAGCATATTTATGTGCGGAAATTTAAACACAGAAAACTCTTATATATGCACTATCAAGAAACTTTGTGAGACATTATTTAAAGTATATTTACTTTAATTGCAATAATGTGAACAAATCGCTGTTAATGTAAACATTAACTATGTGAGATACTAGTCAAAAAAATTACATGTTTGCAATTTGTGAAAACCACAACAAAAGAATACAGGAGTATGGCGTTTATGCCATCACATAGTACATTTATCACTATCCTTGCCAAAAGTATAAAGAAAAATTAGGAGCCATTTTTTTGAAAATCTGGTTTTTGTTATTTTTAAAAATTGGACATATTGCACGCAACATTGCCCCAAAACTACTAAAACGTTCAAAAACATAATTTTAGATGAAACAATTAAGTGTGGACAACATATATTTTCGAAGGAAACATTCTAACTTCAATTTTTTAGTAGCAGGAAATGACCAAAGAAAATCCAAACTTGTGCAATTATCGAAATCAGACCAATGTTATTTTTATAAGTGTTTTGCTCTATTCTTATAAGAAATTTAAAGAAAAAAAATTAGGAGCCATTGTAGAGAAAATTTTGAAAATGTCCCAAGGGCTTCAGGTAACCCCCCCCTCCAAAATAATCGATCGACAGGGGTTATATTCAGTTTGAAAAATCGTACGCATAGTTCAGGCGCTGGGTAGTTTTCACATACACCAGACAGACAGACAGCTGTATATCAATTTTTCGGTATCATTGACCCGCAAAACATGGATTCTGGCTACACCACATGTAGCAGGATTTTTTGAATCTAATTGTGGTAACTGAATTAATCCACTTTTTCCTTACCAGGGCCTGGTACCAAAAGTTTTTCTACTGAAAATTTGCCGTTTTTTGCACAGCATTTTATAAGCTTTTCTCTACTGCAAAAGTGGTAATGAGAAAGTAAAATGAAGTTAATTACAATGTCTGTTATGCTATGAGAGCATATAAGGTATTAAGTAATGCAGTGTCAATAGAGGATTCTTGTTCAGAAGTGGAACTTTTAGAAAAAGATGATCACTGAAATTAAATGAGATTCAAATAAAACGTGTGTTTAGTTAATTTTAAGAAAAAATCAGTTAAAATCAGTTACATTTAGTAGCTAGTTTTTACAAATTGTTGTTGTTGTAAACCCTGAAAGCTTCCTCTTTACGAAATGTGAATTCATTCAGCACTGGAAAAATACAAAGCTGTAGGCCTCCACAGCTGGTGTGCTGTGAAAGTGAGTTAGCTGTCCGAGTGGTGCACTGTCGAAGGCTGTGATGCAGACGTTTCAACCATCTTGTCATGGCTTTCATCCGGGTCGGTCCGGCTTTCTCACGGAGAAGACCATGACAAGATGGTCGAAACATCGGCGTCATAGCATTCAATACTGTATCACCCGGACAGCCAAGTGCACTCACAAGACTGGCTGCGGAAGCCTACGTCTTCGTATTTTTAATGGGGTTTAAAAATTATTACCGGAGCACTTTTGCCTAAAAACGCATTGGAATATGTCTTTAAACTGTGCATAATACACCTTGGTACAATCTAGCCGATGGCCTTTATAATGCCCAGGGCATCGCCAGGGTTACTCCCTGACCTTCCTCATTTCCCCTTTGCGCAGACGGTCTATCGCTGGTGGTGTGGAGAGGGTTGACAAATTGGGTGAGGTTAATGAATTAGACTACTGAAAAGTGAATTTGAGTAATTTAAGTTTTCAAAAAAGGCCTACGTAGATTTTTGAAGTATCTGTACTTTAGGACCACTGGTGATACTTAGAACACAGCAACAATTTCTTTAGGATAACTTCTGTATTAAGAGCCTGGCTGACAGGAGGAAGCTGATCATGATCTCTTACTTTATTAAATTCTTTGTATAATTATTAGTTGTCCAAGTGTTCATGATCAGATCTTACTGTTGGTTTCACAGCAGGCACCACACTCTTACAAGCCTGTGTAAAACTTTACTTCTTTAGATAAGTTTATTGTAAACTCTCCTCTATATAAAATGATAGATAATGTTAATAATTTCACAGCCAGTTGCACTGACGAGATATATTTACTTGCACACTCTACTTCCTCCATTTGTTACTCCACTGACAAATAGTGGAAGAAATATATAGCCACTGTTACAAACTAGATTTAGTTTTTGTATTTGTAAGCCTGTAATTGGGTATATACCTGCTGGCTTCACCTATTAAAAATAAATAATATATCTGCTGGCTTCATCTATTATGAATAAATAATATCTACTGAGAATGGTGATTTCTCGTCTGTAAAACGAAACGTCATTTACTTTGCTAAGCAATACACTGTTTTCCCTCCAAACTGATCTGGGTTAATGAGTTGTTACTGTCCATGTTATAAGAGTGAAGATCATTACCTGCATTTCTTGGTATGTGGCCTGATGTTTCAATTAAGTCTCCAGGTTTCATGTTCTCTGATGCTAAGATGTATCGCAGACGGTCTCCGCTGCCCACAAGGGCCACATGAGCACCACGGTTACCACACACAATAATTTCAAGAACTTTTTCCACCAATGGAGGGCCCTCCTTGGGACCTGATCGCTTGAGGTCCACCCAGTGGTATTTGTGCTTTATGCCTCCACCTATGCCATTGACAATCTTTCGCCCTGAAACAATAATTTTGCTGAATACTTAATTTTTCATGACTTTTCATCTGCTATTGGATACATAACTTTGGGGTGAGAAAAGTCAGAATATTTAAAAAAAATTTAAGTGTGTCTCCTATCAAAGGCCAATTTTTTCAAGTAGCAATGCACTAAATTTGAATGGATGTAGACATATTTGAGAAGTATTTGTGCAGTAAATTTAAAAAAAAATATGACTAAACATAATTTCTGGTTAATGTTTAATTTTAAATATAGTATTTGTGCAGTAAATTAAAAAAAAAATATGACTAAACATAATTTCTAGTTAATGTTTAATTTTAAATATAATATAATTACTCTCAAAAATTGAGATGACTTATCAAGCATGAAGTAAACACAAGAGTAGAACATGTTATTTCAGAGGGTGTTGATTAATATGTCTTGTTCTTCTTTTAAATCAAGCCTAGTGATACGTTCAGTAGCTATTTATTGCAGCAATAGTATTTAATTGTATTTATACTGGCATTAATTCATAATAAGGCAATCAATACTAACGCATAATTTGCATAGCAGCGTCTTTTTTTGTTTGTTAGTTTAATTATTCTTAAAATTGATTAGTAAAATAAAATAGTTTGACGAGTTTTTATTAATTTCTTGATTTACCAACTGCTTTTGCATTTTCTCATCATTGCACCAATGCTTAAGTTGGTCAAATGCTACAACATTCTTGATAGATTTACTTTGGAATATACAACTGTTTTTTTTCTTCACATTTTAAATATTTTGTAAAGTATTCAGACAATGATGGAAAATTATCACAGGTAATACCACGAGTGTTTTGGAAATTGATGATAAATACCCGACCATGAAGCGAATAGGGAATTTATCTGAGTATTCTTAAAGCACAAGCGGTATTTAAGAGGACTATTCTACGAGTGAAATTGTGTCCAATATAGTTAAAAAATGCGCCAAATATTGAAAATAACTGAAAGCTATGTTAAAATCACATGTGATATAGCGATCGATATATTATACCATCACCACGATTAGTCACAGTTTATGATTGGCCAGTCGGTAGATGCGGTAAGAAAAATCAGATAAAAAAAGTGATTTACTTTTAGAGATACACCACCCTCATTTTATAAGTATAGTTAAACACTATTGGTTTTAATTTCACGAGTGGAATAGTCATAATAATCCTAAGACTAATAATTAAGACAATTATGAGCATTAAAAAAAAAAACTTCATCCAGTAAAAAGTACTCATTCTTTGCTATTCATTATTAGTTCCAAATAATTAAAAAAAAAAAAAAAAAGATTATAAATATAAATTGGGGAAAAAGTGATCTTAACTTTGTAAAACACTTATTTTTTTAATTTTATGCACAACTTAATATAATCATATTTACAGGTGATAATACTAGACCCATTATCACATTGAATAAACAAAACTTAAGTTAATCAGCTTAAAAATACAATAATTAGAGATATTTGCAGCTTCATTCCCCTCCTCCTCCATTACTGGGTGAAAATTCTCAACCAAAGTGGTCTACACATCATCACATATAAAACAAATTTCTATTGAAATCATCTTCATTTTCAAATAACAAAGATACACAAATGCCACTTAAAATAAAAACGTGTCAATCTGTAGAAAAGAAATATTAATAAGATAAGTTTTAAATTGTCACGTTAAAATTCTATTTTAATGTTGTTCAGTCCCTCCCAGGAGCCTCAGATGACAAAATAAATGTACTATTTAAATGTTGCTCAGTCTCTTTTTTTAAATTTAGAACCTCAATAAATACTTTCAAAGCTTTTTATAACGTAATTTAATTTTCTTTTATGAAATCTGACACCACTTCGGAGACTTGTCTCCCTCATCAGGTACAACTAAAAGTTTATTTATAAAAATATAAGTTTAGAATGATGAAGCCAAAATGATTTTCACAATATTCAGAAAAGAAGAACATCAAATTTTAATTATATTTGTAAGTATTAAGTTCTTCTTTTAAGAATATTGTAAAAATCATTTTTGGCTTCCTCATTCTAAACTATTTTTATAAATAAGTTTTCAGATGACAGAATTCTCTGAAACTTCGTAGGATTTCATAAAATGAAATAAAATAACAATATAAACTTTTGAATTCTTTATTGTGATTGTCCTAAATTTAAAAAAAGAGACTGAGCAACATTTAAATAGTACATTTTTTTTTGTCATCTGAAGCTCCTGATGAGACAATAACACAATTTCTGAAATCCTTTAAAACCAAGTACTAACAACACTCCACACTCAATATGCTTTTCACTCGAGTCTTTATAGTTAATCTCATTGACCAACAGTTTGATTGTCAAATATTGTAAATCTGAATTATCATATGGTTCTGACATATTTCAAACTATTGGAGCTTTTTTTCAACAAGACTGTCATGTTTTAGTATTGTGTTTGTTTCCTTAAATTTCAGTGAACTTTCACAAGTATAACTTTTACCTGAATTTTATCTCATTTTTTAAAAAGATATACATGATAATGATACTGGACTTGGCCTTGAAACTTTAAAACTTGACAACAAATATTCACATTCACGAATAAACATTCAATAAATTTGAAAATAAGTAGAAATAAATCAGAAAATAAGACTTACTAGCAATGCACAATGCATAAATTTTGTAAGTTACACTAGACAATTTGATGGTAGTTAGATCAACAGTAAACAACTAATAATAATTTAGTGTCGTATTCACTGAACTAGCAAAGTAGTGGAAGATACCAATTGACTAAAAAAATGCATGCCTTCTTTAAGCTGAAGAGTAAGCAAACAAGGCAACTGTCCAAGAATTTTGAAAGATATTTTTTATAAAAACTATTTCTATAAATGAAAAAACCAATAATAAGCTGCATTAGAAAAATATTGGAAAGCACATGTGAATATTCACTTTTTCTTAAAACAAACTACACTCAAGACAATAAAATGAGGCATTGAGAGCATTGGGGGATAAAAGCGCAATCTGTGAAAAGTTTGAGTTACTACAGAAAATAATAATTAAAGTACACAAAAATTTAATGTCTACAGGCAGTACGACAAAATGCATTAAGGTTTGAAATATTAAGTTGAATAATGAAAAATATAATGAATTAAATACCAGATGTAAAATTTTGACTTGCATTTTCTTCGAACTTGAAAAGTGTCACTTATTCCTTTAGGCATCTCAGTAACTCAAATATTATTAAGAATACACCATTAATTTAGTGTTTTGGTTCAATTTATTTCAACAAGACACATGACATGGAATTAACAAAACAATATATTAAATTTAACCATCTTCATTATAGCATGCATTCAAATGAATTTTATTAACTGTTATTCAGTATCACAAACAGTAGAAAGTCTTGAAACAGGACTAAGGGCCATTTTGATTCCTTGAATCATGGAAAAATGGACAAAGCAAGATGGGTGTCAATAAAAAAAAAGAAAAAAAATATATATAATAATCAACAAAATAAACAATATCACTTGATATGATTCAACATTATTTAAGGGTGTCTCCTGCCCTTGTTCAGGAGACATGCAAGACATTTTTTGACCCGTTTCTTTGCAACTAAGTTCTCATTTTTATTAAAATTAAGCATAACATATTTTCATTCTACATAGGATTGAGTCGTGAGATAATGTGGAAAATTGTAAAAAAAAAATCTGAATGATAAATGCATGGACGATTGCAAAACCTTTGCTCAATTTAAGAGACAAGACTCAAGAAAACAAGTTCCAATGACAAGAATTGGTAAAGACTGATACTAAGTGAAAGCAAAGTGGAAAATTAGGATAAAATTCTATCGCCAACACAAGTTATACAAATGTGCACATTTCTACGAATTTCCTTCTAGCAATTACTATTGTGGCATCTTTTTGATGTTGATATCTGTCAGCTTGAACATAATTAATGCTAAATATATACATTTTTTTTCATGTTTTAGAACACATGATATCCAGTACCTGTTACAGGATCCCTCCCACCGAGGTTTTGGACTTCCAATGGTTTCACGGTATATTCATCAGGAAATTTTATGCGGCGTCGATAATTAACTCCAATTCCTATCTTTGGAAGATCGACGTTTGTGGCAAAATTTCTGCTGATACCTCCGAACACATCGCTTTTAATTGCTAACAGTCTGGTAACAAGAGGCCGAAAACTCATCATTATTCTAAGTAGCAAAAATGCAAGATCTCGAATAACACTACAATTATAAATCTGTTTGCACAATCACAAAACCACAAAAGCAAGCAGAATCACATTTTTCCACACAGCTAACACCAGCCAGGGAGTAACGCTGCACTCCAGGCCCCTAAGAATACTAAACTCAGAGAGTATATTAACTAAACTTGCCAAAGAGAATAATAATAAATACTTCGTTTTAACCAGAGTGATATCTGAATAGTTTGGGAGGATTCAGGGTCAAATTGAGGGGATTTTGTGACTAAAATTTTTGGTATTGCTGCTTCCAGTGGGATAGCTACATCCCAGCTCATGATCAGTTAGAAGTCAACTTGGGTGCTCTGAGAACCCAGCACCTTCTTAAAGGAACTGAAATATGGACCAGGGCCTTTCAACTCCTATACAAATCGTGGAACCATTATAGTGACGCACGTGACGCATTCTCCCGCAGCACTTTCTTTCAGGAACTAAAGAATTGCTGCCAACGATACAGAGAACGTGCGTAGGTTCAAGCAGGCCCATAATGTTACAAAAGATGGACTTGATGTTCGCGCTTTGTGCAGAGGTTTCTTATATGTATATTTTATAAATATTGAAAGTTTAGAAGACAATTTTAGTATTTTCTACAATTTAGTCAATTTTAATGTGCGGATATTGGCGAGCTTAACCTGCAGCTGTACACGGCGACACTAGCGCCACCTACCTTTGTTCCCGGTTTTGGAGAGTTGGAAGGTCCTGAAACAGACCACACCCTGTTTGGCTGTCCCAATAGTTTCAGCGCTCGTGGTGGAGGCCTACCGAACTAGTGACCGCCATGTTTTTTGAAGTCAAAACATACGAATGGCGGTGTATTCAATTGCTATACCGAATCGACGTTGTGGTGTTGTTCGTATCATAACTTATTTCTTTATTGTTTTTCGTTTAACAGTATTTAAATAACGGTATTGCAACAACATTAACTTTCAGGCTAATACCAACAGCAATAACAATTCAGTAGCTTCAATTCTTATGACAATAATCGATGCAAGAAGCAACATGTATTTAAAGTTTCTCATTTCATTCTCCTAACATATTGTCATTCCGTATTTAAATGATTGCTTTTGGATCGTGAGAGCACACAATAAGAGGTTTTACGCGGCCCACGCCCACCCTCCGTAACCAGCGCCAAACGTAATGCTACACTCCTTTGTTTCCCAGAGAGCGCTGCTTTGACTGCAAAGAACATAGCTTCAATTTGCTTAAAAAATGGAGGCGCTTCAGTCACTCTGTGTAGTATATTTTAGCTCGTTGTGCTTATCACAATACATATGGATTGCTGAGAGAAAGTGATATAATATGCTGCATAATCGATGACGAGAACTTCACGGAAATACACTTTTTGGACGTCCCTGATACCGGGAAAAATTTCCTGTTTTTTTCCAAAAAGGCCGTTCGTCCATCAGCGAACATCACAAGAAGCTACTGCTCCTAAACTTTAAAAAGTGTTTTCAACAAAAATGGATACACCGTGACAGATCTGGGTTCTAAATTTTGTCGACGTCTCGAATTTGAATCGAGTGTTTTAAGTTTTGGTATTTCTTTACACGAATTGCTGAGGACGTATTCAAAAGTTCCTCAAAATTGGCCCAATGTTTGTTCAATACTTTGTTCTTGAATAAAGCGAAGTATCCTCATAAAAATGTCGCAGATCCGATTTCCATTATCTTTCTGAAATGTCCAAGATTAAACGAGTTTTTTTATCCCATCCTTTAATTATATAATAGAAGATAGAGACGTTTAGCCGATAGATGAGAACCACTTTGATTGGTGAAAGTTTGTCCGTCACAAGTGAGGATTCGTTGTTCACTTTATCGCCAAATGTTTATGGAAGAGACTGAATTCTGCTTACGAAAGGCGTAAGGGAATTTTTTCACGGCATAGCGTAAAGCAATCGACAGCATATCGATCTTCTGCGCAAGTGCAGTTATATAAATGTGATTTAAAAATTCGTATTGCATAAGCGCAGAAGATCGATACTGCTATTGATTGCATTAACGCTTGGAGGTGCAAAAACTCTCTATTGTTTCCGTTTCATTTTTTCCGATAAGAAATCAGTAATTGGGATTCCATTAAATCAATTTCTAATTACAAATTACGAAGTTTAGTAAAAACAATACCTGAAAAGATATAAAGATCTAATACTGACGAATGGTTTACATTAAGAGAATCAACGAACTCATAAGGTTATAGTGACGTAAGTGTAGTGCATGTTTTTATCGCCAGAGGTAGCGGTAATCTTCCCGCGATCTTCACGTCAATTAACGGGATTTTCAACCACCCAGGTATCTCCCAGCAGCGGGGCACCGCCCCAGCGTGGACAATTTCTAAACCCCCGATTGGCCTCCCGACATGTGTGGTAGTGCAGTGCATGTAAGAGTAAATGTGTGTAAGTAACGGGTGTGGATAGGACAAAGCGTGGGAAGGAAAGATCGCGCGCAGTCAGTGGCCCAGTGCCAGGATACTTCTCCCACATTTACCTGATATTGGTAGAAGAAACTACCAATCAGAGCGGCTAGCCGCTAGAATTCTTCTCAAGACAGCAGGTGAATTCGATCTGGCTAACTAGGTAATATCAAATATCCAGCCATCGTCGGGACTGGAACCTAGGACCTCTCGGTCAGAGGCACTGCGGTGACATCAATTGATGCCCTGAGCCACCTTAGCCGGTTGGTTGTGGAGTGAAAGTTTTGTAATGCTGCAGCGGATTGTGGAGATTTTTTTTGTCAGAAAAAAAAGACAACATATTTTACGCCCCTGATATCGAAAAATTGGACCAATGTTGTTCATGTATTAAGTAGTAAATTACTTCCTCTTAGATGTGATGAAGTTAATATCCATGTATTTTGCGCCATAGATACAGAAAAATTGGTTTATGGCAATGTCTGTCCATTTGTTATTCCATCTGTCAGTCCGTCTGTCATTTCGTTTGTCAGTCCGTCTGTTAATCCGTCTATGGTCAATACTAGGGCGTAAACCGTTGAAACGATTTTCTTAACATACTGTAGATATTCCTCTATCAATCTAAGGTGTTATAAGTATTTTCGCTCGAAACACTCTTTTTACACGTCTCTGACAACGTGTAAGTGGATAAATTCAGGTGATAAATTTATAAAAGAAATCCTCTAACACATGATGCAGCCGAAATCCATATTTTGTGGGTCCTTGATACCGAAAAATTGATTGACGGAAAAACGTCTGTCCTTCCGTCTGTATGTCTCTGAACAACGCTAGTGGCTAAACCGTTCAGCCGATTTTCTCCAAAACTGATATTCCTCAAACGGTCTGGCTGATGTCATGGCTCTTTGAATTTGAAAGTGATATTTTAATTTTGGAGGGTACTTTACATGAAGCCCCTGGGAAATTTTCATAAAAAAATGGCTCAATCGATTTTGATTAAATTTGGGTTGTAGATAGTTTAAAGGACTTTTTAGAGAATTGCGCAGATCTCATGTTGGCTGAAAACTGTTTTTGAAAATTGAAATAATTAAAACAATTTCGGCGTCGTAATGATGTGTGTTCATCAAAAAAAGATATTCAAATAAGATGATGTTGAATGTTTCTAAAATATGAGTATTTTTTAAGTAATTTGGCGACACACTTGGCCGCCGTCCGAAAATCCTGCGCTTTGTGATCGTGAGGTATTTTTAGACAGTTGGATGCTACGTAAGGTAGAATGTGTGTATTATTTCATATTTCATTTTATTATTATTATTATTATTATTATTATTATTATTATTATTATTATTATTATTATTATTATTGGTTTCACAAACTGGCCATCATGGGGCCACGCGATATGTTCAGCCCACCGAGGCTCAAACTTTATTTTCGGGGTTACATTTATATAGGGGGGAAACTGCATTTTAAAGCCGATACCTCAGGGTTTTATGCCTCAAGGTTGTTAGTCCTGGGGGATGGAATGAAATTATGATGATGAATGATGAAATAGACACACACGAGCATTCAGAGACATACACAACACAACCATGCTCGAAGCGGGAGTCGAACCCGAGATCCTTTGGTCCAAGATGCCTTACTGAACTCGGCCATTGGATCGGATTTATTATTATTATTATTATTATTATTATTATTATTATTATTATTATTATTATTGTTGTTGTTGTTATTATTATTATTACTTAGACGAAAGAATAACAACGGAATTAGAGAAGAAGATGATATTGTGACAGCCTGGGAAAAAATAAAAACTAATATACTCAAGTCAGCGAAAGAAGCATTAGGAAACATTAACAGAAAAAGTCAACAGAAGCAATGGCGGAATATACCATGGTATACAGAAGAGGTTAAAGAAATAACTAGGGAGAAACTCCAAGCATTTCCCAAATACAGTCTAAATTATTACAAGACTATGAAGAATACAAACTTATAAGAAATCAAGTAAATATAAAGATCACGAAAATAAAACAAAATTATTGGGAATCATTTACCGCAAGAATGGAACACGACTTTTACGGCCTGCAAAAACAGATATGGCGTTTCATAAGAAATATACGCTCTG